AAAAATAAATTATTTCATTATTAAATTTAAATTAAATTATAATTAAAAAATAAATTACACAATCTATATAAAAAATGAGAATTTTAAAATAGTTGATTTGATATTAACATTGATATATATTTTTTAAAATTTTTATTTTATTTTCAAATTTATATTTTATTCAAAAATAAAATCATTATTGTTTTCTTAAAAACACATAATATATGTACTATATTATAAAGCATTTGATAAAAACTCTTAATAACCACTTTTTATGCTTAAAGTACTGTTTATTAATGAATATTACTTACAACTTAAGATTGCAAGTAGATTGTGCGTAAGTACAACTTATTAAAGCTCCATATATGAATTCGTAAAACTATTTGCAGATAAACATAATCAAATATAGAATAAACACCTCATTTTAAATATGAAAAATCTAAAATATAATTAACATAATCATTGAGTCTGACAGAATAGTTAATTATTATCTTTATAAAATTTATAATATTAAACTAAAAATAAATTATTTCATTATTAAACTTAAATTAATAATAAAAAAATAAATTAAAGAAATTACATAAAAATTGAGAACTTTTAAATAGTTGATTTGATATTAACATTGATATTTTTTTTTCAAATATATATTTTATTCAAAAATAAAATTATTATTGATTTGTTAAAAACAAAATCGTATTATAACATCGACAGAGACAAAATAATAAAATAGAATATTAAAATCGAGACGTGTCTCGCTGCATTGCACGAATACCCTTCTAATATGATATAATGGGTTCATTTTTTAAGAAGTCCAAATTTTCGTTCTAGGTTAAATCGTTCATTCCATGTTTTATTCCTAATTTGAACCAAACAGCCCTTAAATACTCTTAAAGGGAGGTAAATGTAAATACTCTTAAAACAATTAGCGACTGTAGTTGTATTTATGGAAGTATGAAGGTGTGTTTTAGCAAATTGGTATAGTATAAGGGAGGTAAATGTAAATACTCTTAAAGGGAGACCCAGTGATACTGACCGGTGACTTATGAAGAGTCAATATCAACTCTTCGCAGCCCCATCCATCATCCTCCTCCACCCTTAATGCTTCAACTGTTTCTCCTCTTTTGAATTTTTTTTTTTTTAATAAAAAGTTAATAAAACTGGAAATGAATTAGATATTTAGTTTTTTATTTTAAATAGTTAAATTGCTGTATATTTCTGTATAGAAAGTTTAAAAAACTAAACGATTGGACTAATTAAGGGGTTGTTTGATAGTTATTGAATGGTTTGGTGTAAAATGATTAAAAGGTTCTTATGATACAATGCAAAATGAAATATAATTGTTCGGTAATTGTTTACAATAGAATTAGGGTGCTGAATGATTAAGAGACAGACTTTAAAACCATTAAGAGGCAAACTTTTTTTTGTCAAACAAAATTCACATTTTAACATTTCAGAAACTGTCTCTTAATGAAACTATTAAGAGGTAAACAAACAGCTCTTAAGTTTATAAATTATTTTTTTAACAAATAAAATTTTGAACCTACTAAAACCGAGAAAAACACGATGAACTTTCATGTTTTAAATGATTAGTTCCTTGAATATTTTTTTGAACGAGTAAATTATCACACTTATAACACAAAAGCAATATATCATTTCTCAATCTAAATGCCTAGATCAGTAACAAAATATAATAATCTAATAAAAATGATTAAATACCGTTCTCATTATCCATTAGATTTAAATGTGAATCATAAAGAAATCTAGTAGTTATTTATATTTCATATTAGAATAGCAATCAAATGATCATAACAAACAATTGTGATTGTCATTTAAATCTGAAAAATAAATAAAGGTTAATAAAGATGGGATTTTTTTTTCATTTTATTGGTTTGTTGTACATTTCTGCTAATTTGCTGATACATGGGAAAAAAACGGTAAATTTCTTTAATTTTACAAGTGTAAGGATTTAAAAAAAAAAACGTTCATGAACCTAATCATTCAAAAAAAAAAAGTTTGTTGGATTATCTAGGTTTTAGTAAGTTTAATATTTATTTGTTTGATTTCAAAACGTTCAAGTATTATTTGTTCAAATAAATAATTTAAGAACTTAATCATTCAAAATAAGGCTGACAATGGGTAAGGTTTAATTCATATTGGTTATATTTCGACCCTTTCGATAAAATTATGGTAGAGAAATTTTTATCCATTACCCACTTACCTGACATTTTAGTGGGTATGGTATGGATAAATGGGTTTCGGTTATTCATTTACTTGTTACCCATTACAATATATATATATATATATATGTGTGTGTGTGTGTGTGTATGTATAAAGTTAAATATTACTGTATTAGTATTTTTATTTTTCTTTGTGACGTTATCAGCATGTGTATATTAATGTGTAATTTAATTTTTCTTTATATATATTAAGTAAAATAGTTTATGATAATTAAATACAAAACAAGACGAGGTCGAAAAAATAAATATAAAAAAAATGTTGTCTTTTAATTTTTGTATTATTGTTTTGAAATTACACTATTTAAACAAGCTAAATAAAAATAATAATTATTGTATATGTAAACTTATAATTTACCTATATGTTTGAGATTACCAATATTATTTGTAGTTTAAATTAATAATATTTACCATTTTATCTATTGCCCATTTCGTTATCCATTATTTTAATTGGATAGGGTATATATGGATATAGATTAGTGTTTTATAAGATGAATAATTAACCATTGCTTACCAATCTATACTATATTATAAAGCATTTTGATAAAAACTCTTAAATCATTTTTTATTCATGAAGTACTGTTTATTGATCCATATTACTTAAAATTGAAGGTTACAAGTAAATTTTGCATAAGTACAACTTATTAAAACTCTATGTTTGAATTCGTGTAACTAACCGCGGATAAACATAATCAAATAGAGAATAAATATCTCATTTAAAAATATAAAAAAATCTAAAATATAATTAGGATAGTTATTGAGTTCTAACAGAATACTTAATTATTTATCTTTATAAAAAAATATTATTAAACCTAAATTAAGTTACTTCATTACGATAAATTAAATTATAATAAAAATTTTGAATTAAAAAAAATACACAAATAGAAACTTTTAAATAGTTAATTTGATACTAATATTGATATATTTTTTGCAAATTTTATATGATATTTTTTAATTTATATTTTATTAAAAAATAAAAGAATTATCGCTTTCTCAAAACTACATAAAATCGTATTATATCGACATAGATAAAAAATAAAATAAAACATTGAAATCGAAATGTGTCTCGATATATTACATGAGTACTCTTCTAGTTATTTTAAATGGATAGGATAACAGAATAATCCTTACCTACACATACCCTACTCATTTGCCAACCTTAACTAAAATGTGATAGTTTGTTGGGTTTTTGGATTTTTCCCTATATGTTTCAAATAAATGAAACATCAAATTTTGGAAAATTGATTACATACATCACTTTAACCAAAAAAACGCTACCTCTAACCAGGTAGATTAAAAGACTTTAAATCAGTTTTACCGTTCACATACCATACACCGTTCATACCCCTTGCACCTAATGATATCGCCCCCCTCGCCGTCCCATCATCGTACGTTCTTAATAAGCCCATCATCGCCGCTAGCCCCTGCCATTAATCTGCATGTTTTTATCTATTTTTTGTATTTTGCTGCTCTCCGGTGACATTAATTTAATATAGTACATATCAACAGATCGAAAAAGAGAGAGAAATGAAAACAAAATATGATCAAAACGAGGGATGTCTATTGCCGGGGCCAATGGCGGTGATGAACAATGGCAGAGAGCAGGGGAGAGTGGGTGGCGAGTGGAGTAATGACGTTGGGTGCAAAGGGTTTGAATCGCAGATATAAGTAGGTGTTTTAGGTTATAGGTAGGCATTTTAGGTTAAAAGTACGTAAGTAAACAATTTTCAAAAGTTTAATGATTTATTTATTAAAAAAAAATTCAAGAATTTAATCACTTAAAATGATAAAGTGTAATAATTTATGCATTTAAAAAAAATTTATCGACTTAATTTTAAAAAATAGAAAAAATTAATCGAGTTTCTAAATTTTCCCGAATAATTTATTTATAAAACGAACTTTGAATATCAAAATATTAATTTAGTAAGATAAAAATGGATGAAAGGCATTTAATTTTTTTAACCTGAAAATCGAAAATCAAACCAACAGAATTAGAAGTCAAACATTGCAATCTAGTTTTGGTTTTTCTGTTATTTTGATTCAAAATTAAGTATTTACGGCAACAAAATTCAGTTTTAATTTTTTTATAGTATTTCTGAAAAAAAAAATATATTAAAAGATTAACCGGATAATTTGTTTGTTGAAATTTATTAAGTTGTTCGACTTCACCTTATATGAGAAATTATTATTTAGAAAATTCAATGTAACGACGTCTTTATATAAATTGTAGTGATACTTTACTAGAACAATTGTAGCTATGTTAATATGCCAAATTTGCCACAATGTTTAACATGATTCAACTTCAAACTCATTTGAATGTCACATACACATTTATATTTGGTTTTTGAATTGAAAATTTTGAAATCAAAGTGGATATATATATATATATATATATATATATATATATCTAGAAATTTGATGCAACATTCTAGAAAAAATCGATAAAACAAGAGACGTGTATTAACTAGGATATCTCAATATTTTTGAATTTTTCCAAAGATGGTCTATTTCTTCATCGATTTTTTTATGATGGTCTCTTCTCTTCTCTTCTCTTCTCTCCTAACAGGAGAAATGTCTGCACCCTTATTGCATGAATCTTGTTTCACTGTGTTTATAGTACTGAATCTAATTGCATTATTGTATTTATAGTAATGAATCTAATTATGTTTATAGTAATGAATCTAATTTTGAATCTAAATGCATTAGTATAAGATTCATTTTGAAGTGAATTTGAATACGGTGCTGAATATGTACGAAATCTTGAATGAATTCAAATGCATTACGGTTGTGTTTATAATTTCTTTACATGGATGCATTTGGTAAATCACATGAATCAACATCAACTTCGTCAAAACGTCTTCTAAGACTCTTGCAAACTTCATCACCTGCAACAATCAACAATTGCATTGAAGAACCGACTTTGTCTCCTAAGTGAATAAATCGATCTTCGTATTCAAAAACGTCTCTCATGTAAACTTCGTTGATAGAATTTAATGGATCCATTAATGCTAATTTTAAATACAAGCGAGAAATTAAGAACCTTAATATGAAACCACCTTAAAAAATCGTTGAAGAAAGAGACCATCACTGGAAAGAATTGATGAAGGAATAGATCATCTCTGGAAAAAATTTGATGCAACATTCTAGGAAAAAATCGATGAAGCAAGAGACGTATATTAACTAGGATATCTTAATATTTTTTAATGCAATCCCATTAATTCTGGATGATTATTATAATTTTTTTTTAAATAAATAATTATGTTATATTTAAAATTTTCGATATTACTCTTTAACAATTTAAAAAATGAAAAAAAAAATGAAAGTATTAAATGGACTCGCTGACCATAGATTAAAGTTTGAATGAATGAGATGAAGTTGTATTGGTTGTATGAATGACAATAGTTGCACAATAACTTCCCTCTACATATATACATAGTCACACACACACATATACATATATATATATATATACATATATATATATATATATTATCAACCAAAATGAAAAAGAGTAAATAAATTCAAACCAAAAGATTTGAATATGAATTCAATTTGGTTCTACGAATATGAATCACAAATTGAGTTCATTCAAATCAAATAATAACCTAATTAGAATTAAATGTCAAACACACTTAATTTGTATAATGCAATTAATTATATAAATATCATGTAATAATGATTATTAATAGATAATTAAACTGAAGTTTTTTCCTAAGAAATAATACATTGCTATATTTTCTCTCTTTAGATCATCGATTGCTTATTTTTTATGGGATAAAAAGAATAAAGTTTTATAATTGTGGTATACAGGAATAAGTTCATTTATGAGCGCTAAATATTTTATGAAAATCATATTTTTTTTGTAAGAATTCATGATGAATATTATCAATCATAAATATCTGTCATAATATTTATCATGAATATTTTATCATGTTATTTATCATGAATACCTAGAAAAAAGTGGTTATTGAGTTCCTAAAACATTTAGCAATAAATAATTAATACTTTTTAACAACTGGTAATTAACAAGATTTATCCACTACATGTAAGGGTTGTTTGTTTACCTCTTAATAGTTTCATTAAAATGCAACCTCTGAATCGTTAAGAGGTGAATTTTGTTTGGCAAAAAAAAAAGTTTGTCTCTTAATGGTTCTAAAACCCTCTGAATGGTTTTGTATCATGAATCTCCTTTAACCATTAAGAGCCCTAATTTCAATGTACATAATTAATTACCAAAAAATTATATTTCATTTTGCACTATATCATGAGAGCCTCTTAATCATTATGACCACTTAATCATTCTGCACCAAACCATTCAACAATTGTCAAACAACCCCTAAGTCATATGAATCGAGTAAAATATATTTAGTGGGATTTAAATACATTTAAATTATTTTGAGCAAGTTTGATGTCTTAAAATATCCGATATATGAAAAAGTCGTTTTCTAAGATGAAAATATCAGTTCTAACCTACTAAAAAAACTTTTTAGCCGATGATGATCCATTGTACCAATTATTATAATTAACACCCATATAACACAAAAACTAATTTACTTACAGTTTCATCATTTAATCTTTTATTAAATAAAAAAGATAGTGATAAATGTTCTTTTCGGCGGTAATAACTATAGAAAAGAGTTCAATTCCAAACTTTGATTTATTTATAGAGCAAAATATATAAATTAAGTAATTTTACAAGAAAATCTCAGGAGTTGACTCACCAACAACTGCGATCTTTTGTCACTTGCTTGTTTCGTCAAGCTTTAGACCAAAGTGGATATGAGGGAAATGTGCCCACTGCATACGTAAAAACACAAGTCGTTACTGAAGCAATGCCATTTACTTAAAATAATTTAATTGGATATATGTGAATTTAACTATGACATAAGACTAAGTTCAAAAATTCATGTACATTTCTTGCAAGAACATGTATCAAAAAGAACATTTTTGTTGACTCTTGAAAACCTTCAATCAATTGTTACAAAATTATGCCAATTGATTTCAATCTTTTATCAACACCATTTTATAATTAGTGTACAATTTAAATGTCAAAACAAAAAATAAAAAATGTTGACAAACAAATCCAATCTAGTGATACTTACGTTCTTGGCAGCCATGCTAAAAGCTTCCCGATGGCTAATTTCTGGATTCGATGCCTTTATCCTTTTAATCTCCTCCCTGTAAGTGTAAGATTCGAAGTTATAATTTTTTTTTTTCATAAATAACTTTAGTTGAATGTAGATTATAACCTTGAGGTATAATCACATGACAAAATGATTTATCAACCACTTTAAAACAATTATATATGTCTTTAGTTTTCTGTTCTCTCTCTACGTCTCTCTCTCTCTCTCTTTCACACACATACACACACACACATATATATATAGAGAGAGAGATGTAGATATATAGACAGAAGAAATAACATGGATTCAACAACTTACTTAATGAATCTATTATATGCAGATGGAACTCGTTGCCTCTTCTCTGGGGCTTCATAAACCAAAAAGTTAGTTTTAAAAGTATAAAAAATGATTATAATTATGTTAAGCATAAGTTCAACAAAGTAAAAAAAATATATATAACTAACAAAAGAAAGATGAATAGTAATGCAAAAAGTTTGTTGTCTTTGATGGGACATAAAGATTTCTCGCTTTAATTCCGCTTCAACGTTTTAACTTTTTCAATCGTGCTTAAAGATGTAGGTGTACCCTTAGTTTTTCATATAGAACACAGATTAAAGCGTAAATGCCAAATCAAATTTACGGGTAGTATTTTTAACGGGCTCAATACATCAAATAGATATAAGATTTTAAATAGAAAGTTTTAAGATATAGTTAGAATGGCCATTTTTCCTGCACCAATTGGTCCCCATGAGAGGATCTTGTCTTGATCTTTATTGTCTTAGGTCACCCACACTTGGTCCTTGGTGTCTTCCTTTGAGCATATGTCCTCTTGGTATGGTCACTTCAACCTCTGACCTCCATTTCACCTTGGTACCAAAAGTTTTTATTTATTTATTTATTTATAATCTTTGGTAACTTTCTATACATTGGTACAAGCCCCTTTATCTAAAGATTGAAGGTTCAAATCTAACAAATATATAATTTCCATTCTTTTATAAACCCAATAATTTATATAAACTTACAAAACAATTGTCCACACACACACACACACACACATATATATATATATATATATATATATATAGACTTGGGATCATGTGAGACCACTCTGTTTTCGTGAGACCCGTGAGACCAGCATTTTACACTTGAAACTTCACAGCAAAATGCTGTGAAGGTAACTTTTTAAAACCTTCACAGTGTTTTTGCTGTGAAGGTTCGACTTTTTTTAAACCTTCACAGCGTTTTTGCTGTGAAGTTTACGTGTAAAAATGTGGTCTCACGGGTCTCACGAAAACAGGCTGGTCTCACGTGAACCCAACCCTATATATATATATATATATATATGTGAAAATGTAGTGTCTATACAATATTGTTTTATATGTGAAACATTCACTACCGTTTTTTCCACACACAAAACAATTTTTAACCACGTCTTTTATTGCAAGTTTTTTAACTACAAGGGTTGTGGCGTATTAGTTGAGGTCCTAGGCGGTGTGCTAGAATACCTCATCTGCCCATAGTTCGATTCCAAGCATACACAACAATTGTGGTCACTGAGTTTATCAGAGCTCATTTCTTACAGTCACAATTTGCGGGGATTAGTCAAGACATATCCTGGAATACCAAAACATTGTCGAACATTTCATATATGATACAACATTGTATAAATACTACATTTTTACACGTGTTGTTTCACATATAAAAATTGGTTTATAAATTTTTACAATTTATTGAGTTTGTAAATGATTATATATATATATATATATATGTATGTATACAATTTGTGTTGTACATAATATGTGCATATGCTTAAACATAACCGGTGTCTTTTTGTGAGATCATGCCAATTCTGATATCGTTTTGTTTCAATGGAGACAACCATATACCTTACATGAATATGCATCTAAGACATGTTTACAACCACAAGCTATCTTATTTTTTTTCATGTTCTTGAAAATGTTAGGTTTGATTAATCATAAGCCAATATTTTTCAATCATATATTTTTCCAATTAAATTTTCAACAAGGTAACCATTTCATATCGTCATCTAGGATGTGCAGAAAAATACTCGTATATAGGTCGAAACGTATGGCATGAGAAAGGACTTACGACAAATGGCTGGGGTCTGTGGCACTTGTGGTTCAACGGATTGAAGAGACGATGAACCTGAACCACCAAATTGGGCTTTATCATTGTTGCTGGAAAGTTGTTTCTGCAACTTGTTTAGAACTCAAGACGTTAACCATACAAATTCATATTAAACTTGATTAAAATATGTCATGGATTAATTTGGAAATTAAAGAGAACCTGATGATGATTATGATGATGCGTGGTAGTCTGAAGCAAAGCACTGATATTTAAGGACAACAAGTTTGCACAGTGACCACATCGAACAGTTACAATGCTTGACATACTGCTGCATGGAACACTCACCTGCAAATTACTCCATATAGTCATTTTAATAAAATGATCACACACACACATACATACATACATATATGTGTATACACACACACACACACTGTTTGTGTGTGTATTCTCTAATATATAGAGATTTGTGAGCTTGGTATACAAAATGGTGTTGTATTGATATTTTTCCAAGGAATATCACACCATTATAATGTCTCATAATGGCCCCTCCCGAAATACATCACAAATGAATCTGATGATGAAATTAAATTCTACGATTTGGTGAGAATCTACTACAATTTAGTAAGGACACCAAAATTCCTAGAGAATATACCCCAAATAGTCAAAGATGAGCTGATTAATGTTTGTTAATGTGACCGTTTTGCATCTGGGCTGCCCTTAGAGCTGCTGTGCATAAACTACGTCTCTCAAAGATGTTCGGTCKTGTTTAGGTTTTCTTCGTTCCGATGAATTATGTAAGGAAAACCCAAGCATTATAAACTGAAAATGGTATCTTTTTATACATGTTACATATAGTAATCTCACATCAAGATCGAAGACCTAAATCATGAGTTGATTTTTGAGTTGGAACCCTAGAAGTTCAATCGATACAGATCCTGGATTAATTTGAAACGAAATTACGTTATGATGAAGTAAATTTCCTTTTTAAAGAAAGATAAATTAATCAGGTTTATTTCTTTACAGATACAAGATTTCTTGTTGCCAAGCCTCATATATACACTTTCGTTCATATCTTATATGCTTTCAAAAATCCGGAAATTGAAGAACAGAAAAACCCTACAGAATTCACGATCTTGATCTAGAGGTTTATTGATTAGAACTTACATGAGTAATTCAATAACAAAACATAATTCTTTTTTTCCTGTAATTTGCAAGGCAACTAGTTGCAACCTAAAATGAATAGATCAATTTAAATGGGGAAGAAATGTAATACCGCAAGGATGGTGTTGCAGAAGTTGCAGTGGACGTAGCACACGCGTTCGAATGATTCTAACGACATAACTTTTTCCCTTTTAAGCTAGCTTTCGATGAGAATTAAACCACGAAAAAGTTGGAACATGAACAAGATCAATAACTCTAATGATTGTAATGATACACGATTTGCATTGCAAGTCAGTTGTTGCAGCAAGAGAGAAGATGAGTTTAAATCTAAAGGAAGATGGTGATTATATTGCAGTGGAGATTGAAAGATGGTATTAAGGAAAAGGTGGTTTGAGAATTTGGAGAGATAGAAGAGAGTTATGATTAAGCGAATGAGTGGGTGGCAGTAGCCCAGTAATTCTAGCAATAATGGAGACTTGTGGTGGGGTGACCGATGTTAATGCTAGAAATGGTTAACCCTAAAACGTTGGTTGGACTGGGTGTCTCATGAAACTTCATGTCGATTGATCGAACGTATTATTGATTTTTAAACGTCATGTAGATTGATTGAAAAACCTAAAGTTTGTCCAGAACATATGTAAAAACATGGGGGGTACTAAAAGGGCATTGACTTGACATAGAAAGATAATTTCGTCGCCATATGAATCTAACACTTATCGACCGCAGTCGTCCATTTGAAAAGGCATTTAATCGTCACATCCAGGAATCTCAATAACGGAAGATATATATCTTTTATGTCCTGACTTAATATTAATATATATATATATACTAGAAGTGAACTCGTGTAATGCAACGAGATACATCGTGATTTTAATATTTCATTTTATTCTTTATCTCAGTCGATGTTATAATATGACTTTTTGTGATTTTGAGAAAGCGAAGACATTTTTATTTTTGAATAAAATATATGTTTGAAGATATCATAAAAATTTGACAAAAATATATCGATATTAGTATCAATTTAACTATTTGAAATTGCTCATTTTTTGTGTAATTTTTTAATTCAATTTTTTTATAATTTAATTTATGTACAATAACGAAGTAATTTATATTTG